CAGTATAACCAGTGATTAAGAGCACAGACTCAGAAGCCAGACTGCCTTAGTTCAAATACACATTCCCGTGTTGTAGTGGGTTGAATAGCGTCCCGCCGAAATTCACGTCCACCTGGAACGTGTGAATGTGACCTCATTTGGAAATAGAGCCTTTGTGGATCAAGTTAAGGTCATACTTGATTAGGGTGGGCCCTACATCCATCATGACAGGTATCCTTATAAGGAGAGGAATATTTGGACCCAGAGACAGACACACAGTAGAAAATGCCGTGTGAAGACAGAGGCGGAGATTGGAGAGACGCATCTACAAACCAAGGATTGGAAGAAAGTACCTGAAGCTGGAAGAGAGGCATGGGACAAATGCTCCTGAGAGCCTCTAAAAACAATGAACCCTGCTGGCACCTCAATTTTGGATTTTTAACCTCCAGAACTATGAAAGAACAAATTTCTGGGGGCTTCTGGGTGGCTCCTTCAGTTGAGTGTCTGACTTTGGCTCAGGTCACGATCTCCCGGTTTGTGGGTTTGAGCCCCATGTTGGGCTCTGTGCTGACAGCTCAGAGCCGGGAACCTGCTTCAGATTCTGTGTCTCCCTGTCTCCCAGTCCCCCCGCCCCCCTGCTTGTGCACTCTCTCTCTCTCTTTCTCAAAAATACAATAAATAAATAAATAATATATTTAAAAAAAAAAAGAAAAAATTTCTGTTGTTTGAAGCCATCCAGTTCATGGTAATTTGTTATGGTTATAGCAGCCCTAGAGAACTAATATGGTTACTTAAAAGCTGTGCAATTTGGGGCAATAATTTAGCCTCTCTGTGCCCTAGTTTCCTCATCTGTAAAGTAGGGCTAACAGTACTTAGGTCATAGGGTTGAGTCATAAAGATTAAATGAGATTAAATCTTTTAAAGATAAGAATAAGGTCAGGGGCACCTGGGTGGCCCAGTCGGTTAAGCGTCCGACTTCGGCTCAGGTCACGAGCTCACGGTCTGTGAGTTCGAGCCCCACGTTGGGCTCTGTGCTGACAGCTCAGAGCCTGGAGCCTGTTTTGGATTCTGTGTCTCCCCATTTCTCTCTGCCCCTCCCCTGCTCATGCTCTCTCTTGCTCTCAAAAATAAATCAAACATTAAAAAGAATAAAGATAAGAATAAGGTCTGACACATATAAATGTTAACACATAAATGTTAATTACATATATGCTTGTGTTTGTGTAAAGAAGTCTTGGACGATCAAGAAACTAACACGTGTGGTTGGTGGAAGGAAGGGAATAAAGGCATGAAGGGGAACAATACTTTGCATTTTGGGGGCTTTTTAATTTTTTTAGGGAGAGACAGAGAGTAAGGGGAGAGAGAGAGGGTAGAGGGAGAGAGAGGGAGACTCTCAAGCAGGCTCCACGCTCAGTGCAGAGCCTGACGCGGAGCTCAATCCCACGCCCCCAAGACCATGTCCTGAGCCAAAGAAGTCAAGAGTCAGGCGCTCAACCGACTGAGCCACCCAGGCGCCTCATAATATATTTTACTCTTTGAACCATATGAATGTATTATCTGTTTAAAAAATAAATTAAGGAGCGCCTGGCTGGCTCAGTCAGTAGAACATGTGACCCTTGATTGCGAGTGCAAGCCCCATGTTGGGCCTACACCTTACTTTAAAAAATTAAATCAAAAATTATTTTGGGGGCATCTGGTTGGCTCAGTCAGTGGGGTGTGCAACTCTTGATCTTGGGGTTGTGAGTTTGAGCCCCATGCTGGGTGTAGAGATTTCTTAAAAATAAAATCTTTTAAAAGATTATTTTAGGGGCACCTGGGTGGCTCAGTCAGTTTAAACATCTGACTTTGGCTCAGGTCATAATCTTGCGGTTCAAGAGCTCAAGCCCCACGTCTGGCTCTGTGCTGACAGCTCAGAGCCTACAGCCCATTTCAGATTCTGTGTCTCCCTCTCTCTGCCCCTCTCCCACTCTCACTCTGTCTCTCTCTCTGTCTCTCAAAAATAAAGCATTAAAAATTATTTTTAACACAAATCACATTACTCTCCTGCTTGAAAACCCTCCAATGGTTTCCTATCACATTTATAACAAAGTCACATATCATGCTATGGCTGACCAGTGCACACCAGAGTGCAAGCATCTCTCCCCGTTCAGCTCTGGTTCGTGCCCCTCATTCACTCGGACAGGCGGCCTGCTGTTCCCAGAGCCTGCCAGGCACACTCCCACCTCAGGGCCTTTGCACTGGCTGTTCCCTCACTTCATTCAGATCTCTGCTTTAAGTCGCCTCCGCAGAGGCCTTCTCTCACCTAAAAAAATAAAAAATAAAATCAAAAGCAGCCCTGACTCGCAAATGCCACCATACACTGTCCCCTTCCCTGCTTTACCTTTCTTCAAAGTATATATCAGCCTCGGGGCGCCTGGGTGGCGCAGTCAGTTAAGCGTCCGACTTCAGCCAGGTCACGATCTCGCGGTCCGTGAGTTCGAGCCCCGCATCGGGCTCTGGGCTGATGGCTCAGAGCCTGGAGCCTGTTTCCGATTCTGTGTCTCCCTCTCTCTCTGCCCCTCCCCCGTTCATGCTCTGTCTCTCTCTGTCCCAAAAATAAAATAAAAACGTTGAAAAAAAAAATTAAAAAAAAAAAAGTATATATCAGCCTCGATATTACATATACGTTGATTGTCTCCTCCCCCTTCTAAGTTCCAAGACGGGAGAGACTGTGTCTGCCTTGCTCACAGCTCAGCCTGTGGAGCCACCCACAGGGACCACTGTGTCACTTTCTAACTCTAGTAAGGAATCCCAGATCTGCTCCCCCTCTCTGTCGGTAAGTCCCTTCTGCAATCTAGCTGAAATTACTCCTGCTACAATAAAGAATGAATTTCCCCTTAGTTCCCTGGGACCTCTGAGAGAGCAGCTGGGCGATGTTTTCCTATACTCTTTGTTGGTTGTCAGAGATTTGGAGATGGGCCCTCATCATGGAATTTCCAGGTCAGGTTCTCAGGCAGAGGCACACTGGCCAGATGCTTGGCAGGAGAGATTGCTCCTTTATTCGGCTCAGAGGATCTCAGTGGGCCCTGCAGAACTGCCAGCTCCCTAGGACTGTGTCCATCAGGTGATGGGGGACCAGGCACAAGGTGTGGTGGACACAGTTGTGGCAGCTAATAAAGATGGATGAGGGGAGAGGTGAACACTTGTGACCTTGACCTCCTTGCTCCCACCTCCCCCTTCTTAATTCATCCATCAGTTTGTTCAGCCTTTCAGAGCAAAAGTCAAGAGCACCAGCTATGTGCCAGACACCCAGCTCTTATCTTCTCTAATGTCATTTTCCCTCTCTGTAAAATGGGTGCCCTCTTTCATGGTCATTGTGAGGATCTAAATGAGCTAATGCACAGAAGGCCCTTAGCATCACCCTTGGCTCCTTGTAAATACTCAATAAATAAACATGTCGTTTTTCAGTGTAACCAGCACTGAGAGATGCCAGCTCTGGGCCAGGCTCTCAAGGGTCCAGTGGAAAAGGCTGATATATAACATACACTTCAAGTAACTGAGTGCAGTGCTTAAGGACAAGGCGGGGCTGGGAGCTTGTGGTCCATATGCCTTAATGTCTTCTCCCTTCCCCTGGACCTGGAGAACTTATAAATGGGGTGACTTCTGCCGTTTTGCTTTGTCTCTTCCTTCAAACTCGGGGCTGGACCATGTCTCTTCCGTATGTTTCAAATGTTGGCGTTATCTACCCTTTACTCTGCACGGTAATACAATACAACAGGCACTTCACATGCATTAATCTCAGTTCATCATCGAACACAGATTTTGTTAATACCCCCATTTTACAGATCAGGAGGCTGAGCCTTCAGGAGGTTAAGCAACTTGGTCAAGGTCATTCAGCCAATAGATGGCGAAATGAGGATTTGTCTAGCGGCCCACATCAGGGTTATGGAGAGAAGGCAGTGTTAGTTCGGGTAGACCCTGAGCCCAACCCAGCTTTTTTACTCATTCACTAGCTGTATGACCCTGGGCAAGTCTCTGGAGCTCTCTGGCCTCAGTTTCCCTATCCCTATAAAAGGAAGAGCAACTCTAGGGGCACCTGGGTGGCTCAGTCTGTTACTTAACAGACTCTTGATTTCGGCTCAGGTCCTGATCTCACGGTTTGTGAGTTTGAGCCCCTTGTCAGGCCCTGCACTGACAGTGTAGAGCCTGCTTGGGCTTGTCTCTCTCTTTCTCTCTCTCTCTCTGCCCCTCCCCCGCTCGCTCTAAATAAATAAATAAATAAATAAATAAATAAATAAATAAAAACTTGGGGCACCTGGGTGACTCAGTTGGTTGAACCGACTGACTTCGTCTCAGGTCGTGATCTCACGGTTGGTGAGTTTGAGCCCCACATTGGGCTCGCTGCTGTCAGTGTGGAGCCCACTTCGGGTCTTCTGTCTCCCTCTCTCTCTTCCTGTCCCCCACTCACACTCTTACTCTCAAAAATATTTTTTTCCACTGCATTTATTGCTAATATAAAAAAAAATGTTAAAAAGAAAAAAAAATTCGTTCTCAGTTCCCCAACGGCTCTCATCCTTCCCTTTTGGCCACACAACCCCTGACCCATTTCCTCAGGGCCAGTTCAAAACTCACTGCCGCTTTCACAGGAAACAACCAGTGCCAGGGATGCAGGGAAGAAGGTTAGACGAAGGCGACAGTACTGTCCAGGTTCCACCCAAAGGTAGGCCGGGTGGAGATTCACAGAATTCAGACAAAAGGGCTGGTGGCCTCACAATGACATAGTCTAGCTAAAGTGGGCTGGAGGGGAGATAGGGTTGCCCATCAGAAACTTTAGAGGACATCTCATGGGCTTGTGTCAAACCCAGAGAAACCGACACCAGGATGGGGAGACCAGGGAGGCAGTCTTGCAGAAAGGTTCACAATTCTCCCACCGTTGGGAGGTATGGAAAGTCTAGAGGGCACCGAGTCTCAGTCGTTTGGGCAGAAAAACTTACTCTAGTGTCGGGAAGCCACAAAGATGCCACGGACGCTGAGAGAGGCTGCGTACGAAGGGATGCACAGTTTCACAAAGCACAGTGATCACAGACCAGAGAGGTGGGGATCGTGCTACTGACGCAGAAACTACAAAATCCAAAAGCAGGGAGAGTGGCCTTTCAGGAAGTAACTCTACACGGGTCATCCATACTTGACCCCAGATCGACCTGGTGAGTTTCACGGAGTAACTGGCAACTTTGAGGGTAAGGTTTGTCACATAAAAAGGACTTAAGCAGCCAGAAGGCAACGGTAGGAAACTGCTCCAGAGCTTTCTGGAATCGAGGGCAGTACCGGGGGCTGGGTGGGCAGATGCACAAGAAATAGCACCAAAGAGGTTTCCTGTTCAGCAGTCCGCTGGTGAGGGGGAAGAGGATCCAGGAGGCAGTTAAGGGGAGCAAAGATGGGGTCCTGAAGGCGAGTCACTGGAGGCTGGATCAGAAGAAAGACGACACCCTGGGCCCCAGTGATGAAACACAACTCTGGACCCCAAATGGGGAGGTGGCGGATGGGGGTGGGTGTCACTGACTGAGGGTGGTGGGTGGAACAGCCTCCCGGTAGCCATCCCAGGGCCACAGGGAAATATATGGCTGCTAGGTCACAGAGGGCTCCTTCCAGCCCAGATGGGAAGGCACAGTCTCACAGAGGAGGTCCATTGACGCCTGGGTAGTAGAAGGCACAGAGGTCCTCATATCGACAGTGACCCTTTGTGGCAAAGTGTCAGGGCGGTTGGATTTGTCTTCCATAACTTAGGGGCCATCCTTGAGTGGGCAGGTATTTTTGATAAGAGACCAACTTTTGAGCCTTCGAGGATTTCTCTGCTCTTTGTGAAAGCCTCCCCTGGAAGGACCCCCATGGTCTGGTCCAGGAAAAGGAGGTCCAATATTGGCCCCCCACCAACCACGACCATATGGGCCACATCTGGGGCCTAGGCCCCCCCGAACTGGGCATCTGCCCCGGGGAGGAAGTGGGAGACTCAGCAGTGGTGGAATCATTGGTGCCCTTGAGCCTGGAGGACCTCTGTGAAGAGAGTCTTCATTCCTTTCTGTCTGGCTCCTTTTGCTCAACATCGTGTTTGAGATTCATCCTGGGTGCCTGTAGCAGGAGTTCGTTCATTTTCATTGCAGTGTAGCATCCCATCGCATGCACACGCAACAACTTATTTATCCATTCTACTGATGGTGGACATGTGGGTGGATCCCAGTGTGGGGCTGACTTGGGGCCACCAGGCTTTCCATTGGCCATGGGGGGAGGGCCCAGAAGGCTGGGTGGTCCTATGGGACTCTCATCCTCCTCGTCTCCAGTCTCTTCCCGCGGGGGCTGCTGCGGTGGAGGTGGCTGCTGCTGACTCTGCCTCTTTCCTTTCGGCATCGTGGTTGAGGCAATGGCTACAGCGGGATTTGGAGGGCAGTGAGGAAGGGCAAAACTAAATTTTAAAAAATGAAAAAAAAAAACACATAAAATTTGTTTAAAAAATGAACAGAAACTCTATGCATGTAGAATGTCTAGAATAGGACCTGGCATGTAGTAGATGCTCAATAAAAGGTGATCCCTCTTCCCTTTCTTCTCTCCTTCCTCTGGCAGGGACTCCAGGTTGGGCATATGCCAGGCCAGGCTGACCTAGCTGTCTCAGAGACAGTATTTGCATTCTTTCTTCCCATTCTGATAAGGCCTAGAGGACTGTCGGGAGCCCTCCACCCCCATCCCCCAATTCTCCATTCCCAGGGAGCCTCAATCTGCTGGGGGGTGGGGAGGGGGGAGGTAAGAGGATAGTCTTCAGTTTGATGGAGACACAGGGCATTCAGAGAGGCGAGATACCAGCCCCAGGCCTGACGCTGGATGAGAAACCACAGCATTGTGCCGCCTCATTCTACAGGGTGTGCGGCCAGGGGTGTGGACACAGAAGGTAGAAATGTGGGTGCTCGGGCACGGAGGGTGTCTGGGGCTCTGTCCCATGTTAAGTGAGCTGGGGCCACTCGCCCTTTGGAAGGGGGAGGGTGTCATGTGTAGCAGTTGGAGAAGTTGGCATAGTCCAGCTGAGACTTGGTGAAGTGACAGCCCAGTAGGTAGCTGAAGCTGTACATAGTAGGACAAACAGGAATTGGCCCCTGAGGGCCTGAGGCCACCCAGAGTTGGTACACACTCTTCCGCCCACCACCTACCGACACCTTCTGGAGCACTGAGCGCTCCTGGCCCCCCGAGGGCCTCAGATCTCACGGGCTGCAGGAGAGTAGGCTCCCCTACCCCAACAGGGTTCCCATACTCAGGAAATAAGTATGCCCTCCCCCATCAGTGCAGAAGGGACTGTGGCTAGACTGCAGAGACCCCTGGAACCAGAAGGGTCTGTGTCCATCAATGCCCCCTACCTCAACTCTTGGGAGAGGGCTGCTGAAGAGGGGAAGGAAGTCCTGCCCAGAGGCAGAGGGATGGTCAAGTTGGCCTGACCCTTATCTGGAAGCCCCAGAGCTCAGGCAGGATTCTGCACTGGGACTGGCTTCTCTTTGGTGTCATTGACTTGGAGTCAACAGCGGACGTTGGCTCCCAGGGCCACGGTCACCAGCATAGCCCATACGTCAGGACTGCTGGTGGCTGAAATGGAGGTGATGGCCTGCCGTGGGAGGAGGCAGGGGAGAGCACGAGCCTGGACTCCCAGGGACGCCCCTGGAATCCTTGGACTACAGACTCAGGGCTAAGGGGGCTCTCCGGACAACCTCAGGGTCACACACCATCCCCACCACCATACTCGCTCACCTCTGAGACAATCTCGTTGCACCAAGTAAAAGAGTCCGGCCCCCTCTGAAGTACCCCTGCTCCCTCAAATAATCGAGCTTCTCCCAGGAGACTTTAGCCTCCTCTGTAATATTCCAGCCTTCCTCTGAGATATTCCAAATCTTCTTCACTCCCCATAATCTTCTCACACCTTGTGAAATAACCCAGCCCTCAGTGAAGTCCTGTAACCCCCACTGTACCAGAGTCCATCATCTCTGAAGTACTCCAGACCCTGCTGTGAGGCTCCAGCTCAACTTTAAAATTTTTCAATGTTTATTTTTTATTTTTGAGAGAGAGAGAGAGAGAGAGAGAGAGAGAGAGAGAGAGAGGCACAGCATGGGAGCAGGGGAGGGGCGGAGAGAGAGGGAGACACAGAATCCGAAGCAGGCTCCAGGCTCTGAGCTGTCAGCACAGAATCCAACACAGGGCTCGAACCCATGAGCCGTGAGATCATGACCTGAGCTGAAGTCAGGACGCTTAACCGACTGAGTCATCCAGGCACCCCAACTGTAGCTCAACTTTAAAATGTGTGCCCCAACTTTCATACCCCAGTCCCCCTGAAACATACCAACACGCCTAATACTCTGCACCTCACTTTAGTACTCTAGTCCTCCCTCCCATTAGAGCTCTCCGCTCCTAGTGAAAATCTTGCTGCCCCTTCAGGAACACTCCAGGCCTACTCTGAAACCCAGCACCTCCATAATGCTCTGTCCTGCCCTCAGGGACAGTGGTAGTACTTGAGTCAGCTCCTGCTGGTTCTCACGTCCTCCGGGGCTTCAGACGGCTCCTGGACATCAGTGAAGTCCAACATCAACACCCCTGGTGGGAGGAATCTGTGAGATGGCTCCACTGCCTTCCCCGTGGTGCTCCCAGCCAAGTACTGCCCTCCTCTAGAAACACTCCCCCCGCCCCAGGATAAGAGCCCACTAACCGGAAACATGGTAGTCCTCACAGAAGTTGGGAGCACCTAGGCCCTGGGGTGGCATACCCCTGACCTCTCACATCAACTTGTCATGAGCCCCCTGGCTGGGTCAGCTGCCCAGAGGCAGTCCCACAGTCTCAGACAGCCCCGTACTGTGCCAGTTTTCCCACTGTCCTGCTCTGGGACACCTGTCCTGTGGCTCCATGGATCTGTTGATAAATGGGCAGCTGAGCCAAGGCCAAGCTGTCTCTCTGTCCAAGGAGCATACTTCTGGGCCACCAAAGAGCAGAGTTGAGCCCCTGGATTGGGGGGGGAGCATACCCGCCCTGCTCTGTGTTTGTCCAAGTGCCACCCACCAGGTCGCCCTTATGTGACGGTGAGTATAGGCAGAGCCTGGCAAGTCCCTGACCACAGATGGCTGCATGGGGGGGATCTCAGTTATGGGTTCTGTAAGCAGAAGGTACTAGGTTCCAAACCCAGCTCTTCTGTGTTACTTTTGCCAAATCGCTTTACTTCTCTGAGCTGCAGTGGCTTTACCCTTGCAGCAGAGAAAACCATTATCTTGCCCCTTCCCATTTTGCTTCAAGGCTCATGCGAGATAGTGGTTATAGAATGAATCTTTCCTTTAACAAACATTTGAGCGCCTACTATGTGCCGGGCCTGCTTTAGACATAGAAAGTGTTTATTATTTCTCCCTGCATCAATCACCTTATGAGAATGGAGGGACTAGGGTAAGGAGCGGTGGGAAAGATTCTAAAACTGATCAGACCTCCCTCCCTGGCTCCTGATGGCTCTTTGTACATCTGGTAAAGGTGCTTTCAAAGCCATCGTTTCTTTTACTCCACATTCTGGAAGATAGCTATTACTGTTCTGGTTTTATTGATGTAGAAACTAAAGCCTAGAATTGTTAAATCACTTGCCTAAGACAACACAGTTAGTAACTTGTGGGGCCTGAATGACCCACGCTGCCTTTGACAAGGAAGGAGGTCAGAGGATCACCACACACCCCACAGCCACCCCTGGCTCCTGTGCTGTGCAGAGATGAGTCGGGTCCCTTCCTGGGGGTCCTGGCAGAGGGGCTTCAGCCAGTACCCTCCCTGTCCTCCAGGAGTCCCCAGTTATATGCAGGCCAAGAGGACCAGGCAGACTTCAAGCAAGGCATCTGGAGATTGAACAGCCCTCATCGGACGTCTTGTCCTACCCTATCCTTGTACAGATCAGGAAACAGAAGGGCAGAGACAGGCACTTTCTCAAGGTCATACAGTGGGTCAGAGGTCCTGCCTCTTAACTAGGTGAAGACGTGCCTGCCCATAAAAGGCCAAGCATGTGAAACGCCCCCTACGGTGCAGACAAGAAATGCTCTAGGTTCAGAGAAGGGAGAAAATACCACCTGCCTAGAAGGCTGAGCATGGGCGGAAAAAAAAGAAAAAAAAGAAAAAGAGGAGAGAGGCCACCACATGGGGAGCACCATGGAGCAAAGGCTTGGTGGTGGGACTGGTTGTGCATCCCCATGGAGGCCCACCCCCTGCCCACATGTGGATTTCCTCCACCTGTTCACTCTGGCGCCTCCTGAGACCAACGATTCTGCTGCTGAGCTGTCCTGACCGTTCTTCCTCTGCTCTCGAGCTGAAACTCTGCTTGTCTGCCTGAGTTCTGCTTGCTGTCTGGGGCCCACAGAATGGGTGTCATCCCTGGCCCCAGAGCCACTGAGCGGGGCGCTCTATTAGAAGTTTCTCCCGTGGGCAGTCTCCTATTTATCTTTCAGAACCCACTCGGACACTCCCTCCTCTGTGACGTCATCCCCGTCCCTCAAGCGAAAGTGATTCCTTCTTTCATTCCTGTTTGCCACCAGCGTCTATCAAGCACCTACTAGGTGCCAGGCACTTGCAAGGTGCTGGGTAGACTTAGAGACAAAACTCCTGCCCTACTGGAGCTGGAAATCTAGGAGAGAAAGAGGAAAACATATCAACCACTACTGGCTTTAGCGGGTTTTTCTCCAAAAATATCTAACCAAGGTTCACACACTATATTTGGTAGTGATGTCTCTTTGGTCTCTTTCAGTATAGAACAGTCACCCCCCCCCATCCTGCCCCCCTTTTTTTTAATGGCAGCAACTTTTTTAAGTGACCAGTCCAGTGTTCTCATAGGATGTTTCACACTGTAGATGAGTTTGAAGTTCCCCTCATAATGCTGTTTACCTTAGTCCTCTAAGCTCTGTGTATCTTGTACCTGGAAGTCAGGTCGAGAGCAGGGATTGGCAAACTTTCTATAAAGCCAAGTAAATATTTTTGGCTTTGTAGATCATACAGTATCTGTTGCAACTATTCAACCCTCATTGTAATGTGAAAGCAGCCACACACAATACGAAAGCCCCTGGAGCATGGCTGTGCTTCAATACAACTTTATTTATGGACACTGAAATTTGGATTTACCCTAATTATCATATGTCAAGCAGTATTATTCTCCCTTCGATTTTTCGAACCACTTAAAAATGCAAAAGTCATTCTCAGCTCAGGGGATGCACAAAAACAGGCAGAGGTCATATATGACCAATAGTTTGCTGACCCCTTGATTGCTTTTCGGTTAAGCTTCTGTAGCAAGAATTATTCACAGTGATGACGCATCCTTAATAGTCATCACCCAAGGAGTCACATGGTGCCAGCTTACTTTAGTTACGAGGCGTCTACCAGACTTCTCCATTAAAAAGGAGAAATACCTTTTGCAAATCACAGATCGGCTGTGCCGTGCTCCTTCCCAGCACCGTGTTAACTGTCTGTCCCTTAAAACCTTTCACCGGGCATTTTTGGCATCTACAGTGCACTGGATTGTGTCCCCCTTCCCCCCAGTTCAGACGTTGCAGCCTTAATCCCTGTATTTGACTGTATTTGAAGATAGGGCCCTTCTGGAAGTAATTAAAAGTTAAATGAGGTAATAAGGGTGGGGCTGGAATCCGAGCAGACACCAAAGAGTTCACCTTCTCTCTGTCCTGTGAGAATGTACCTGGAAGGTGGCTGTCTGCAAGCCAGGAAGAGAGCTCTCACCAGAAGCCAATCCCACCAGACCTTGATCTGGGACCTTCAGCCTACCAAACTGTGAGAGATAGGTTGTTGTTTGAGCCACCCTGCATTTTGTGACGACTGCCCATGCTGACTCACACATCACTGATGATTCTTTTGCCTAAATTGATTATCTAATTGAGGCTGCAAAATGGGTTTTTTCTAGTTCTCACATCCCTTCTAGTGTATTAGTTGGCACTTTTTTCTGCAAAGAAAAGCTTTCCCTCATCCGCTAGGAATGAACTGCAGATCCTCCTAAGAAAGCAGGATAAATGCTTAATTCTCTGAGGGAAGATATTTGTTTTGTTTTGTTTTTTTCTTTTTAAATGGGAAATTCTAGAACCTATTTGTATGCTGCAAGGATAATTCTGTGCGGAGGGAGAGATAGATGATGCTTGAGAAGGGGTTACGGAAGGTGGGAGGTATGCAAAAGGTGAGGGCATTTAGAGTACAAGTGAGGAGGGAAGGGGGGGAAGGTGAAAGACAGAAGAAAGGGCATGAACTGGTCCTCTGGGCAGATCTACAGGGCCAGCTTATTAGGAAATGCACTGGATGGTTGCCGGGGCTGGCTCATGTCCTTTTGAGCCTGGGAGTTGTGACCCTGCCTGCATAGCAGGTGGTTGTCTCCTCTGTACCCAGAGAAGGTGGGTGGTTGGATTGCCCCAGGCTTGGGGACTTCTGGGCAAGTACACTGGAAGGGAAGGGAGGCAAAGCAGAGCACGGTCTTTGCCAAGAAGGATATTGGGACTGACAACAGACACTATCTAGGCTGCTTGAAGGCAGCAGTGAGAACAGGAGGAGAGTGACGGCTAGATGGGAAATGGATGGCAGGTCTCAGCAGGCTTACTGGACTTTGATTTTTGGTTTTGCTCGGAGTTTTCAGAAATGTTTTAAAGGAAAATGTGAGGGGGGGTTAGAAGGATAGTGGAGAGTTTCAACAGGCCCCTCCTATGGCCTCTGGCCTCTCTACCCCTGTGCCCACCAGTCTCCTGTGCCACATAGAGGTCAAGGACTGGAGCCTGATTCCTATTTGAGACACCAGCACCCAGCCTGGCATAGGGTAGTCCCAGGGAAGATCTGAGGTTTGATCGAATGGATGAGTGAATGATAGCAAACACTTTTATGGCACTTACTATGTGCCAACGGCTCATTGATTTTTCCCAAGACTCCTGTAAAGTGGGGTCTACTAGTATCCCCATTTTACGGATGGTGAAACCAAAGCACAGAAAGGTAAAATAAGTTGTCCAAGGTCATAGAGCTGGGAAGAGGCAGAGTTGGTCCACAAACCAGGTAGTCTGGGCCACAGTCTGTGTCCCTACCACCAGATTATTCTAAATGGATAAATGAGAGTCCTGGACTCTGTCCATCTGTCCCGAGTGATGCCAGGTATCTCTTGAGATCAGAGCCCTGATCTGGTCAAGAGAGATTCATAGGCAATAAACAATGAACTGAGAAATAGACCATTTCAGATTGTGACAACTGCCATGAAGGAGACAAACTGGGTGTCAAGGGCAAAAATAAGGGGACCCTCCCTGAATGGGGTGGTCAGAGACGGCTTCTCTGAGGAGGGTACTTCAGGTAAAAGATGGAAAGGAGCCAGTACTGTGAAAAGCAAGAAGAGTGTCCTAGGAAGAGGGAACAACATGTGAGAAAGCCCTGAAGCAAAAATTCAATGTATTCTGGCAACCGAGAAGGATCCCAGTGTAGCTGAGGAGGAAGATGGCCCAAGTGGGACTGGAGGGGTGGACAGGGACAAGGCACACAAAGTCTAGGGGGCCATGGCAAAGCATTTGAATTTTGTTATTCTTTGTTATTGTGGCATCTTATTTTATTCTTGTTACTCCAAGCAAACTGGGAGGGAGGACACAGGAGAATTTTAAGCAAGGAACTTATGTGGTCCAATTGGTATTAAAAAATTTTTTTAATGTTTATTTATTTTTGAGAGTGAGAGAGAGACAGAGTGAGTGGGGGGAGGGCAGAGAGAGAGGGAGACACAAATCCAAAGCAGGCTCCAGGCTCTGCCAGGCTCTGAGCTGTCAGCACAGAGCCCTATGAGGGGCTTGAACTCACGGACCGTGAGATCATGAGATGAACTGAAGATGGACGACCAACTGACTGAGCCACCCAGGTGCCCCTCCAATTTGTATTTTAAAGCATAAACAGGGGACCTGGCTGGCTCAGTCAGTAGAGCACAGGACTCTTGATCTCAGGGTTGTGAGTTCGAGCCCCATGTTGGGTGTAGGGATTACTTAAATAAATAGACACTTGTATTTAAATTTTTTAATATTTATTTTTGAGACAATGCGAGAGACAGAGTGCAAGCAGCAGAGGGGCAGACAGAGGGAGACACAGAATCTGAAGTGGGCTCCAGGCTCTGAGCGGTCAGCCCAGAGCCTGATGCGGCGCTCAAACTCACGAACCGTGAGATCATCACCTGAGCCGAAGTCGGACGCTTCACCGACTGAGCCACTCAGGGGCCCCTAAGTAAATAGACATTTAAAACACATAAAAACATAAGCAGTTTTGCTCTTCTATTCATTTGCTTATTCAGTCGTTGATTCCTGAATTTTTCATTCATTCTTTAATTCCTACCTTCACTTATTTATTTTTCCATTGGGCTTTCATTTGTTCACCTGTTCATTCCCTTGTTCCTTGATGGATTCATGCATTCCTGTGCCCGGAGCACATGTTACCCTGTGCCAGAACTATCTAGGTGCTGGGAGCAGTGATAAGAGTCAGACACTTGCCCTTGGTAGCAGGTGCTGCCAGTGGGGGTGGCAGTCAGAGAAGGCCTCCTGAGGAGCCAGAACTGGACGGATGACAGAGGGAGCCTGATTGATTGGGAATCCCTTAGGGACAGGGACCAGTCTCATTAATCTCTGCGTTCCCTAAGCCTGGTACCTGACAGGCAATAACTAATGTTTGTTTGTTTGTTTGTTTGTTTGTTAAGTGAATATGTGGACCAACAGCCAGTTAGGTAGCGTTTGCTGTTGGCTGTGAAGCTGCCCAGCCAACGTGAGACCACCGTTCCCAAGTCCCTGTGTCTCTGCCTCCTCCCGTTTCTTCCTTCCCATTGCTGCTTTCCCTTTGCTGAGAGAAAAGCATTCTTACCTACATCCCACAATCACACTGGGACGTACCTGAGCGTGTGTGCACAAGCACACTCTCACACACATACACCCACATCATTCGCACACATCCCTGCTCGTACATAGAAACACATGTGCCTGCAAAACGTGTCCCAGTTGTTGATTCCAACATTGCAGTCATCGATTTCATTGCCTATAATCACTCACCCAAGCACACGCACGCACGCGCGCACACACACACACACACACACACACACACACACCTGGGCTCACACACCCTCCCTGCCTTCCCACACATCCTGAACACACCTACTTCACCAAATGGCCCTCCCACACACATCTCCTCCCCAGAGGAGGAGGGGTTTTCCTGGTCCTTGGTTTAAGGCTGAAGAAGTTAACAGTGGAGGGAGGGAGGATTGAACCTCTCCCCACCCCCACCCCCGTGTGTGTGTGTGTGTGTGTGTGTGTGTGTGTGTGTGTGTGTGTGTGTAGGGGTCAGGGATCCCTCCTAGTCAGAAAGGCTGGAACTGAGGGTGACACTCAAGTTTCTCTAAATCTTGGGTGTTTGGGGGAAGCTGACACTCTTCCCTCCCTCGGTGTGGCCTGAGGGCTGATTCCTCTGACAAGCAGTTTCCCAGAAGGGTCCCCGCCCTCCCCACCGCCCTACATCCCTGTGCCCCCACGTCTCCGGCTCCTGAGATAGGCAAGTCAAGGCGATTGGATCCGCAGTGGCTCCGGTGACAGCAATCTGAAGTCAGCGGGCTGTGGAGAACTTGGGTAAAGCCTGCCTGCATTTGGTCCTCAGTTTTCCCAGCTGCAAAAGGGGGTGGGGGGTGGGCTTCAGTGATAGAGAACAGCTGCTTCTTCACCTGGACTCCAATCAGTCTAAAAGAGCAGGTGCTTCTAGGGGGTGAGGAACTTGCTCCTTTGGAGGGGCCAGTGCTAGGGGAGGCTGTGCTCGGGGGTCCGGGTCTGGGGGAGGAGCTGGGGAGCAGGGCGAGGGCTGGGAGAGCCGAACCCCGGTAACCCGGGGGAGGCGGGAAGTGGGAGCAGGCGGGCCCGGGATTTGAGGGCCCCTCCCCCCTCCCCTCCCCCCTGGGCAGCCGGCTCGGGGCTGGGGCGGGCCTGTGAGTTCTCCCCGCCGCCGCCGCCGCCGCCGCAGGGCTGCAATAAGAGAAGTCCGAGGCGGCTTCCTCCTCCGGGCCCAGAGCGGGCGGCGGTCTGAGGCCGGCAGCTCCCCAGCTCCCCGCCCCCGCCCCCCCCCCACGGCGTCGGCACTCGCGGCTGCTGGGAGCCCGGCTGGCTCTCCCGGGGTCTGTCCGAGGCGGCCTCCCCTGGGACCAGGTAGGCGGCCGTCAGGTGGGGCCGGACGGGCAGCGCGGCGCCCCGCCTCCGACCCGTCCGCGCCCTGGACGGAGGGCTGCGGGAGGCAGGCTGGACTTGAGCAGAGCTGAGCGAGCCGAGGGCCAAAGGGACCTCACCCCCCTCCCAGCCCCCCGGAGAAGGACTTGAGGAGGAAAACTGAGGAGACCTGGAGAAAGAGACTGATAAAATCTGGAGGGGGGGGGCTGAAGGAATATTGGGGAAAGCAGACCGAAGGGACCCTCTCCCCGCCCCCCCCCCCC